GCTGTCACAGATGTGGCCGTCCATTTACCGTACGCCACATACTCCTTGAATGCTCTGAGCTAGAGGCTTACAGGAAAAAACATTTTCCACTAGCGTACAAGGAACACATACCCCTTCACCCAGCTATGTTTATTGGTCGCGAACCTCTTTTTAAATATAATGCATTGAATGCATTCTTAAAGGAAGTAAATACTTTCCATGTTATCTACTCAAGTGATCGGTAGCACGGCCTGTGAAAGGAGGCTGCTGCTGCGGATGCTACATCCAAAGAGAGCACCTGTCTCCCAGCCCTTGGGACCAAGGGCGCTGGCGAGAAATCGGTGCTAATATAACGCTCCTATTTTATGATGTCATGATAACTAAAGACTCATTCTCACCAGGCATGCTTCACTTCACTTTCATGATTTTAATGAATATGTCTTACGCATCTTTAGAGCGCAGAGTTTTAGGCCCTTTTACAGCCATTTACCATAACCATTGCTCTCATCCGATATCATTTCCTGGCGCTCTTTGGCCATCAATGGCCCTTGCGCCATTAAACAACATATATCTTTATCATCATTAGCAGCTCCGATGCACTCCTGAATGACCATGAGTTGTGCATTTGCGACATGCAGTTTGTCCAACTTTTCTTGCAGGGATTCATTAGAAATGGCAACAAACTTGTCTTGCATTGTCTTCAGTGCTTGCTGCAGCCCCTTTACCCTCTTTGTCAAGCGATCCTTGGCTCGTTTTAGCGCATACTGTGCTCGTCGGAAAACTATCACCTTCTCATAATTACGGAAGTTATACATCCGAAAATTCGTGCGGGCTCCTTTTCTTTGCTTCCTAAGCAGTGCCTTCTTTTGGTGAACCCGCAGCGTGTCCGACAGGCCAGCACACCTTTGGCAGGCACGATTGGCAGAAAGAACCTGCGCACACTTCCTGTGCCTCCACCGTCCACGAACATTAACAAATCTGCATTGCAGTTGTGCATGGGGATACTCCTTTGCCATTGGATCGCCACCGCAAAGGTGGAGGCTCTCCAGGTTCTTCAGTAGGATTGTGATGTCGTCGATGGTTGACACCTCAAGGCTGAATCCCAATACTTCGTGAGAAACCGGCTTGCCCATCAAAACAACATTGAGTTGCATGTCTTGATTAATGTCAAGCATTTTCCACTGCACTATGTGGCTTGTGTCAGCAGCGCATTGCGGTTCTCGAACACGCCGCAATTCCGAAAACACAACATTGCGAAGCTCGTCAACCTGCAGTCGATGAAAACCCCAAGTTGTGGATGGAAGCTCAATGCATGCTGGGCTTCCAAACAGTTCATCAAAAGTTGACAGCGCTGCGAGGGGTGTCGAGATACAATCATGCAAGAGCATGTCCGAAGCAGTAGCACCACTTTCGGTGAGATCCGCAAGAAAGCATTGAGAAAGTGAGCCACCGAGTTTCTGGCTTTGCTTTTGGTGCTTCTTGAAAGTTTCGTTGACATCATGTCTCTCGGCTGGCCTCTTGCGTTGTTTTTTCTCTTTCGAGGGACAGCTTGGGCAGTCCAGAAAAATACTGGGCACTGCATTTTTGGAGAGGGACGCTTTCCGGGGTGCTCGACACAAAACATTGCCATTGTAGACCGCTTCCCAGGTTTTGCTCACCAAATGAGGCTTCGAAGTGCCATTCACAGATGTGGTCTATTGACTGTAGGATTCAATTCTTGCGTGGAATGGCATTCCTCCACACCCGAAGACGTTCATCTTTCGGCGCAGAAAACAGCGAAAGTTTCTCGGTACAGGACTTGTACCCTGTGTTGCAGCGTGGGGCGAAACACTTCTTCCCCATCGCTTTTACATGGCCACACGCACGTCGTATAAGCTCACAGGGTTAACCAAAACTTTCAAAGATTGCGGATAGTTCACAAAAAACAGAGACGTTCGATGTGAAAGACGACCTCGTGTCGAAGCGAACTGAAGTGGCCGCTAGCAGTTCGCGACTCGCATGGCCCCGGTACTCCTAGTGCCCTCTGGTAGGAAGAAGGTGAACTCGAACAAGTTCTTTATCGAGCTTCTCTGCTGCGCCTCCAAGGCGATCAGTCACCTCCCCTTCCTACACCGTGGCCACTGCCTACAATGGAACGCAATGCTGCCGCATCACTTAGTCAACTACATAAGAATATTTTTAATGAATTTTTTCTGAAGTAAACAAGTAAAAAAGTGGCAATCCCTTTCCAATATATGATGCAAATGAGTTTTTCTTTAAGCATGTGTTCAAATGCTATTGTGGTAAGAAAATCTAGCTTTCCTAGTCACAACCCTATATTAACTGTTGCAACGCTGCTTAGGTACCCATGCATGGAACAGCAGACTCAACAGATAGCAACATTATTATGTATCACGCGTTGCTAAAGGCAGTGGTACTTTATCATCTCTGTAAGTCTTTTCATAAGAAGACTACAAAGTTCGCTTTCATTATTACATAGTTTATATGGTATATGGCACTGATCATCTCATTGCAACTTTCTTGCTTGGCTTGCTTGTACTACCACTGCATGTATTTTCATATAAGCGGCCTATGACTGCTTCACTTGGCCATCTACCTGGCTGGAATAACCCACACATGGGTGTCAGGGCCGTTCGAGCAATCCTTTCATGTGCACAAGTGTGAATTACAGGCAAATACAATGCTGTGGTATATTCAGGGTATTAATACACTACAGTTTTAGATTTAGAAGGTCTGAAAAAATTGCTTGCTCAATTTTATAAACTTTCCATTTTAATGCAATTGGGCTGTGCTCATCAATTTTGCTAAAGTGAGTTTTAACTGTATTTGTCTTCAGCTAAAATGGTGCTCAGTTTATGTAATACTTTGGGAAAAAGCCATAAAATTGTGCTTTGTTTAGAAAACTGCATAGATTCATTCACTAGCTTGTCATGACATTCTTGCTTTTATGCAAAATGTTCCAACACTAAATGGCCTATTGAGTTCCACTGCTAAATGACAAGATCATGTCTATGACCGTGATGGTTGCATGTATGTAGAAAATGTAATAAATATATTTCTTGGCCTCCTACAGCTGTCATTTGCAGAGTTGCTGCTAAGAAAAATAAATGTAGTCATTGACATATTCTGTGCTACATACGCACACAATGAGAGCATGTGTAAACAAATTAAACTGGGACTGTTCTAGCCAGGATATAGCAAAATAAAAATGCGTACACCCCTACTGAAGTTACTGAAGCGTTCTTTGCACCACCATTGGTGGCCCATGAGGCCGATTGTAACACCATTATTTTTTTGGTGCACTTTTTACCCTATAACACTGTTTCATGTCTAGATTTTGGCTTTTTAATCTCACTGTGCTTGATGTATACAATTTTGTATGCTTAAATATCTGAGATATAATGAGCCTGTGCTTAACTTCTGTCTACAAGCTACTAAAAGATGTTATGCAGTTAAAACTTGATCCAACGAAGTCTGATTTTACAAAGTTCTCAGTATAATGAATAAATTTCAATTCCTGGGCAGATACCCAGAGGGTTCACTGTTGGCATCAGCCTGAATTAATGACAATAACTTGGCACAAAGCTTTGATTATAATAGTTTTTCCTGAATTAACTTTGTGAAAAGTCTTCTATTTCCTTCCAGTCGTGACAGAGATGGGTTTTTCTTTTGCGTATGCTCTGATGCTATCGTTAACACATCCAGGTACCATAGTCATGCCCCAAGGGTTATTTTGATAAGGCTCCATGCCCCGTTCATGCATGGAACAATGCACTCAACATTCGGGATCACACTCTTATGTACCGGATGATGCTAGGGGCAGTGGTGATTGCTTTCATTATTTCATGGATTGTTGGACAGATAGCACAAATCATCTCCCCACAACTCTTTTCCTTGGCCTGCTCGCACAATCGCTGCACTTGTTCTCTATGTCTTCGCATGATGGTAGGCTGTCATAGGTTCACCTGACTGTCTATCAGGGCCACATCACCTATACATAGTGCATTCTGTGTCTGTACCACATGGGAGGTTCCATGTCCGGACCACCCACGTAGGTTTTAGGGGCAAAGCAAGCACTTTAGGGTCTAGGCTTGTCCATTGTTTGGCGATGGCGGTGACGCTGATGACAATGAAGAATAAGCACGTTATCACGTGCACAGCACATGTAAGGTACCCACTATACGCCATGATGATGACGCTTATAACTATTAAAAAGTGTGTTAGCACATGCAAGGTACCCGATGACGATGATGACCATGGAACATTGTCTTTCTGCCATGGATGAAAACAAACATAAGGTGCAGAAAGCAGTGGCTCAAAGGGCAACGAAGGGCAGCCACTTTATACTTTTCGGAGACCAGGACATTGACATCATGGATGACTGGCTTGTCCAATATAGGACGTCTTGATACGCTCGACGATGCATTTCTTATGGCTGAAAGCAATGAAGAACCACCAAGGGAACGTGTATAGACCTTGTGTTTGCCAACTTCAGGCTAGATCTGATAGAAGAACCATTGGCTCTTATTCATTGACCAAAAAGCAGCAATAATGAAGGCAAAACAAAATCCATAACTCAATATGACATATCATTTATGACCAACATGTGTGAGTGGGCAACGCCACGGGTGATTTACAGTAACATACGGAACAGTCTCTCTGCTTTGCCTGCTCATCATCATTCACTTCGTGGAGATGCGGTGATCTTTTCACATCTGGAGCCATAAATCGGCTCAAGAACATCGCAGTGGTAGCACTTGGGTGTTGGTGTTGCTATGTTTCAATTTTAGGTTTCAAATGACCTGAAAACCCCTTTCTCGATTTAAAAGCCTGCTGATTTAACAAGATAATTTGAGTGTTTTCATCACTTTTTTAGATCAAGTTTAAGATGTAGTTGTCTTGGGGAATCTAAAATTATGCTATACAAGTTTACATAGGAATTGTTGTAACTGCAAATGTACTTTTACTCCAAGTATCTGTTGCCATGTTATAGCTGTGTATCATATTGGTGTGTTTTGCAGGTGTTATGTGGTGGCTGGGATCGGACAAGCCAGTATATGTAGGAGTGAACGGCTACAAGCAAGGAGTCACTCGCAAGAACCTTTGCAAACCAATGGCTAGGTACATGACTTTATAACTCATAATTTTGCATTCTGAGCAATGGAGGAAAACAAAAATAAAAATTGTTTAGTGCTGTTAAATGTTGCTTTTGTTTTGTATATTTAAGAGGTGCTGTACACAAATTTTACCCTCCGAGTTCTGAATTACAACTCATTGCTTGTATTATCCTGCTATAAATGCAAAAATAATTTTGAAAATTGACATGGGCAAACAAAAGTATGCAACCTGCAAGTTACCTCAAATTATTTAGGTACTACATTTTGCAGTTGGAACATCCCCTTCTGAATCTCGTGCAGAAATAAAGCACCTTGCTGTGTATAGTATGTTGAAATATTCTTTACCTCTACATTAGATATATGTAGAGGTGAAAATTTTGTTCCAGTTAGAAGAAGAAACCTTGCATAGGTGCTGTGCTGCACATCTACAAGGGTACTGCTTCTAACTGGAACAAGTTCATTTGCATAATCGGAATTGTCTATGCTGATCAAACAGCATTGTGCGTGTCTGAAAATGTGGATGGCTCGCGTAGCAAAAAGGCTCATTTACACTCTATAGCAGTGGGTTAAGCATCATAATGACAGCTGTACAATACAGCAAGAAATATACAAATGTTGGAGGGAACTGCCATCCACTTCAGCATTCTACCAGTGGTTGCTATCGACAAGTGTACAGTTACTTTGCTCAAAAGCTTGTTAGTTTTCCCATTTAGATGTGAGTGTTCCACAAATATGCATGGTTGAAAAGTGAATAAGATAGAGAATTTCGGGCCTTCTACATGGCCTTGAAAAAACAAATCATTCAATCCACCTTTTCAAAACTTCAAGAGGTTGTCCAACATGTGGGAAGTTTTCAGATAGGAACGTCTTGTATTTTGACTTATTGGTGTACACAACTACTTAGCTATTCTTTTTGAGTTTGTGGTATCGGGGTTTCACTGTGTTTTATCCAAACCTTAGTTGTCATTTATTTCCGTACACACAGCGTGAAGCATGAATGGCTGCGGGCTATAAAACTAGCTACTGTGAGTGAGATGTCATCAAAGAGAGCTACTTGTCTTCGTGCACCTTTTATTCTTATGGAGAAAAAAAATTGTTTGTGAGAGAATAAATAAAGCTGTGAAGTTGAGTACCGAAAGTTTATTCACATTGGTGTATACTCTAAGAATTGGTTTTGTGTGTTTTTTCTACAGGTTACCAGTTTGTAGGAGCGAACTGTTTAAGCTGTTCCACAAGCTGAAGCATCAAATCTCACCAGGAAATCTACCCGAGACTCTCAGGCAAGTCCCGATTGCTGTGTATTGGGTTATCATATGCTGCTGCTCGAAAATTCTGGCAGCTGAAGCATGCGCTCTTAAGTAAAGCTTGGGGTCTGTTAAATGCACCTTAGGGTCACATATAGACAGAAATGATGCAGTATTTATGCAATATTCCAATTATAAAACCATAATGTATCTATACCCAAACATTTTTTTTTGTTACTGCGTGAAACTTTCATCAGGCACTGCATTACCTGATGCTGAATATGCGTATATGCAGCAACGACTTTCTTGCTTTGGAGAACTATGAAGTCTAGCTGAATTTTTTTACACAGGATTGCACATTTTGCGTGTATATATGACAAGAAAAAAAATTGTGTGATGTGCATTTTCGTAGGTCAGCCACAGTGTTGAAAATGTCACCAAGTTGAAAATGTACATTCATGGACCAATCATAAGGCACAATATTTTTGCGAGCTTGAGAATGCTACCTTGGGCTGATAATTATGTCAAAGATGGCTTAGGCTTAAAATTAGGTGAGCAAATCACTATCTTGCTGATATTGCATGTTCTAGTGGCAAAAAGAATTTGCTTTTTGGTCACCTAAACTTGTTTGTATTTCATTTGTTCAAGACTGTACAGTCCTATGTATATTTATTTATTTATTTTTATTTATTTATTTGTCATACTGTTAACCTTCACTTGAGGGTCGTTACAGGGAGGGTGAAGAATTGAGTTGCACAAAATTAAATATTTGAAAAATCATAAGATGAACTCTGTAACATATAGCATAATTATATGAGAAACACAGTGACATGCTTTTTCACTCAATATATTTACAACATGATCTCTATGACCAATGAAACATTTCTAAGGAAACACATACATAAACACTGCAAACTATACATTTTCCACAAAATGCCTATCAAGAGCAACCCCGAAATCACTCAAAGTTCTTATTTGCACCATATCGTTCGGTAATTCATTCCACATATTAATAGCATCGGGAAAGAAGGAAAATCGGAAGATATCTGTTCGATCATGTATTCGTTGTATGAATGTAGTGCATGTTGTTCTTGGAAACCTTTTGTAAGAATGCTTCAAATAATCATCCCTGTTTATTTTCACCCCGGCATGCAGGATCTGAAAAAGAAGTTTCAATCTTTGTTTCCGCCTTCTTAATTCTAGCGGTTCTAATTTACATTCTTTTAACATTTCAGTAACAGAATCCTTTCTTCAATATTTGGAGCAGATGAAGCAAGCTGACATTCTCTGAATGCGTTCTAATTTTTTTTAAGACCTTTTGGTGTGGGCTCCACACAGCGCTAGCGTATTCTAATCTCGGACGCACATACATTTTGTAGGCAAGCAGCTTAACATCTTTTGTGGCTCGGCCTAACTTCTTTCGTAGGAAGCACAATTCTTGACATGCTGATTGACATATGTTATCGACATGAGGATGCCAGCTCAACTTATCTGTTATAGTTACACCCAAGTATTTAAAATTACAGACTTTCGCCAGCATATTATCCCCAATGTTATATGCAAACGAAAGCACTTCCTTCTTTTTTGTAATGTGTGTGTAAGTGTATTTTTAATGTTAATTTCCATACCCCATTTAGAACACCATAAGTTTAGGGTTTGTAAGCACTGATTGATATTCACTTGATCTTCGCTGCATGATACCGGACAATTAGGCACTCATCTGCAAATAGCTTAATTTTTACTGGTGGTTGGAGAACTGATGATATATCATCTATGTATAAAAGAAAGAGTAGGGGCCCCAATACAGATCCTTGAGGCACTCCCGAATACACCTCCCGATTTCCCGACATAGCATCTCTCACTCTAACTGCTTGTTGTCGATTGCTTAGATAAGCTCTGATCTAACTGAGAACATTCTCACTAATACCGACATTGCGAAGCTTGAATATTAGCTTACGGTGTGAAACTCTGTCGAATGCCTTTGAAAAATCGATACATAAAACGTCGATTTGCATACAGGCATCTACAGCTATACACAAGTCATGTATAGTTTCAACCAGTTGTGTGACTGTTGAAAGGCCACCGCGAAATCCATGCTGAAAAGGGCATAATAATTCATTTTGTTCTAAAAATTCCCGGATATTTTTTGCCACTATATGTTCAAATATTTTACAACATACCGACGTGAGTGAGACAGGCCTATAATTGTTTAATGTCGTTCTATCACCACCTTCAAAAATTGGGACAACGATTGCTCTACGCCAATCTTGAGGTAACGAGTGGCATTTTAAAGATTTCTCGAATATAATCACTAGGTAGTAAGACAGCCACTCTGCAAATCGTCGCAAAAATTGATTCGATATACCGTCAGGTCCACATGACGTTTTGGTATTTAAAAGAAGTATTTGATTGAATATACCTTCTCGGTTAATATTTATATCATCTTCCTGAAGTGTCACTGTAGTGCCCGATTCAATTTCCTCATTGTCACCCTGATCCTTGCAGAAAACCGATTGAAAAAATTGATTGAGTCTTTCAGCTATATGTGACGTTTCTGTGATTACTTCTTTTCCATCTACAATAAGATCAATTCCCTCATTCGCTTCCATAAAAAACAGCCAAGACTTACGTGGTGAGTTCGTTAAAAAGTTAGTGAGTGTGTTATTGAAAAAATTTTTCTTGGATTGCGCTATCTCTGCTTTCAAGTTTTTTAGCACATGATATTTCGGTCGAGGCCCTATGAGTTCTGCGCAGTCTTTTTAGTTTACGCTTCATGTGAATTATTTTCCTACTTATCCATGGATTTCTTCGTTTTGTCTTTTTAACGCGAGTGGGTATGAAGTTGTCTGAACAGTAACCTACAATTTCCTTAAAACGTTTCCAGATCTGCTCAACGGACTCAAGTTTTGATGCCTCCTGAAATTCGCCAAGCGACATTTCTAAAAAGTCCACGATTGCCGTATCATCAGCACGATCGTAATCTTTGATATGTGCATACACATGACGCTTTGCTCGAAAGCCGGTATCAAAAAATACGTCAACCGCAACCATTCTGTGGTTTGATATGCTGTCTTCAACTGATACGGCATAATCAGTCACTCTACTCGATATGAAAACCAAGTCTAACAATGACTGTGACGTGGGGGAACTCGTGTATAATCTTTTACAACTTGTGTGAGGTTATGAGAAAACATCAGCTCTAATAACCTATCAGCACCACGGGTTTCTGCATGACCAGTTGAAAAGCTTATACAATTTATAAGCGCTAAATTAAAGTCACCAGCCATTATCAGCCTTGTGTTTTCATTTACATGATCACACAGAAACATATTTAATTCTTCTAAAAACTCGGGTGGACTTCCGGGTGGTCTGTAGACGGCTCCAATGAGATGCGTATAATTAGCATAATTCACCTTGCACCACACTGTTTCTGGCAACTGGCAATGTACTATTGTTGCCGCTACGTTGTTTTTAATTATCACAGCCACACCACCACCTCGGGTTTCCCTGTCCCACCGGAAAATCCTGTATCCTGGCAGTAGGATGCAGTTATCTGTTATAACATTATTCAACCATGTCTCCATTAAGACAACAACATGGAGGCTGTGTGTAATCAACAAGATTTCTAAATCTGTTACTTTATTTACAATGCTTCGCGCATTCAGTGAAGGAATCCTTAGTTATGAACGCGCCGTCTCAGATGATTTCATGCCACTTCCATCGGTCAGCTTTGGCACATTCGAGCTGCCATCAGTGGAAGTTGCAGAGCTGTGGTTACGATCCTTGTTACCTTTTTGTTGCTTGCATTGAGTAAGAATATTTCGTGTCGGATCCCACTGATAAAGCTCGCCGTTCACTTTAAGCTTGTCATGAATCAACTTCACTTTTGCTCTCTTTGCCCTTTCGGTTTCGCAGCTTTGCCATAACTTTTTCCAAGCGTAGACAGTTTCCTTTGCGTAATCATTGCTGACACTAATAGTAGTCCCCTTCAATTTTTTGCAGTTTTTAGCACACTTTCTTTTTTGCACTAATCGTAAAAATTAATGATGACCAGTCTTGAGCTATTTGGTTTTTGCTTGCCGAGCCGGTAGATTCGGTCAACTGATTTTACTTTAATATCCAATTTTGCGTCAAAAAGTTTATGAACAATAGTTTCCGTCAGGTCTGACTCGGTTTCACCAGAATCTTCCGGTAGGCCGAAAACGAGTAGATTATTACATCTACTCCTGTTTTTATAATCAACTTCTGTTCTTGTTGCCTAGCTATAGTTTCCAGCCTGCTAATTCGCTCGCTCATTTCTTCAATAACTTTAAAATAGTTCGTCAACATTTCAGTTTTAATATTTAAATCGTATATTTCTTCCCTCATAGCATCTATCTTGGTTTCAGATGCTACTTGTTTTTCTAAGATTTGCTCCAACATCTCAGCAGTCCTTGGCCCCGGGTGTTCCTCAACATCACCAGACTTTAAAAGCATCAACACCACAGACCAGCAATCAATGACACAAGCAATACAAATGTGAGGGCATGGCAATACTGACAAAAATCGATTGTCACTACTATAACATGCAGTATTAGAGAGGTAACGAACCTGCATAAACAGCAATGCCGACTTAGACATGTTGCGTGCAGGCCATGGGCCGTGCTTTCTGAGGGTTCCTTGGTTGGACTTCTCCTTTTCTAGCCGAGGTGTTGATGACGTCACTGATGATAGACGAGCCATCCAGGTGCTGCTTTCAGAGTCCTAATAAGTTCCGTCGAAAGGCAGCCAATTTTTGCCACCAGTTGACCCCGATGAAGGTTGATCCACCCACTTGTTGCTCACAGTTATCTGATGAGACTCGTGGGAAGGTAGCCAGAATGTGCCGCTCGTAGTTGTCGCTCCCGCAATCCACGAAAGTGCCTGCATAAACAGCAATGCCGACTTAGACATGTTGCGTGCAGGCCATGTGCCTTGCCCTCTGAGGGTTCCTTGGTTGGGCTGCTTCTTTTCTAGCCGAGGTGTTGATGACGTCACTGATGATAGACGAGCCGTCCAGGTGCTGCTTTCAGAGTCCTGATAAGTTCCATCGAAAGGCAGCCAATTTTTGCCACCAGTTGACACCGATGAAGCTTGATCCACCCACTTGTTGCTCACAGTTATCTGATGAGACTCGTGGGAAGGTAGCCAGAATGTGCCGCTCGTAGTTGTCGCTCCCGCAATCCACGAAAGTGCCCGCATAAACAGCAATGCCGACTTAGACATGTTGCGTGCAGGCCATGTGCCGTGCCCTCATACCACTCGAATGTAGATTCGACTGTCAACAGAGAACCACAGACACTTATCATGCACATCACTGCCTTAGCTGAAAATGTCTTCCAGAAACAGTTAGGAGTATGTACCTGTGCTATGTACAGCTGCCCACAAAATTTTACAGAAATTTGGGCTCCACTGAAAATGCCCATTTCTGCTTTGTTATTGCATAGCACTTCTAAGCTAGTGAATAACTGTTTAGATTGCAGGCACTACTACAGGTTGGAACATTTATTTGAAAGCTATGTTCTCAGACAGAGCTGGAATTTAGATTTCCTGGAAGTTTTGCGGTCGACAATATTTTGGGGGGGCGGGATATGTACCCGTATGTGCTTCGCCACTCTTCCCTTTCCTGACACTTTCATGCAGATTACAGTTTTTTTCTGAGACAACAGGATGAGCCTGTTTTTATACACACTACCTTCAATTAGAATTGGTTGGATGAGCTTACGCTTTGCGCTGGTTCTGGCTGCATCTTACTCTTGTATAGGGGTGATGCTAGATGTTTTGTCTAATGCTGTTGTGATGGTGGCATACTGTGTCCATGGAGCTGCAGCACAATGTTCACATTCTTCAAGGGACGACTTATTTGCCACTCTGGCGACCCTGTGGTTCTTTGTGTTATTTGTCGTATAATTTACACCACAAATTTATAGAATGTGGCCCGCCAACAACTAGATCACAACAAGATTCTGGGTGTACATTGCCTTCAAAATATACTTAGGGGCCCCTGTGTGTCAGTAATGAAAATGCCGCCTATTAATTCTGTTGTATCAACTGTGAATCCATACATCTATTTTATATGTTAATTTATTCTATAAGGGGTACACACTTGAAGTCATCCTCAAGAAGCGCTAGCGGCGAGGTCACCATTTAAACGTCTGCGCACTTGAAGCATGCACAAAAAACTTGCTGCACATGCTGTGTCCGAAACCCGTACAGTGACTTGGATGTCTAGAGACATCTCGAACACCTCTTGCATGCTGATTCATGGATAGCATGGATGGCACAAATGAACAAACCTCCAAAATAGCATGGCAATGGTATATCTGCCTTGTGGATCAATGCTCAGTACATACCCCTTGTAATCTTAAAAAGTGACGTTCCCTTAAGGTGGAGCTTTTTTGTTGCCTAATCATCGTTTATAATCACTCAAATCACAGTAAATGAGAAAGGAGAAGCCAGGGCTGCACAGCCAAGTGATGTGGCACCCCATGTGTGCCACCTCCCCCTTTCTCCCTCTCTCCAAAACATTTCTTGCGGAAAGGAGAGCGGGGAGAAGGCAATGCAACTCTATAAAGAACTTCATTGATGTTGCACTATGTTGTACAGTACTAGTATATCTAGATACCCTTCTTGGTCTTGTTTTTATTTTACCTGCCGATTGGGTTATTATGCTGTAATGTGAATTGGGGAGATTGTAATGAGAATGGATTTGAAGAGAATCAAGTTTTGGAATATGTGCAGTTTGCGTAATTGTCAAGCAATGCGGCACTGCTTGGTTGTGGGAGTAGGGTGGAGAGTAGTAAGTCCTCAGCGCACTTTATGGTCTTTATTGGGCTCCAGCGTTCATCTAAAAGCATCATGTCTTGTGTGGTAGATATTTATGCAATAGGGTTAAAGAGCTTGTTTTGCAGAAATACCACTGTTATTGTCAGTGTTGGTGTCTTCTTTGATTGTCAGTGAAAAATCAGTGTTGTCCATGTGTGAAAATTTAAGGTAGATGCAAATATAGAAAAAGTTAAAAATTTTCTGTTCGAGTGGAATTTCAGATTAGGATCTGTGAGACTGTGACCCCTTGCTCCGTGGCACAATGTGTTTGGCCGCTTGGCCACCACACATGCATGCTCTAGCATACTAACGGCAGGTTATATATATGCATCACTTAGCATTGGTGGTATACACATCTGTGGTGTTCTTCAGCAGCTAGACATAAAGCCCGTGAAATGCTGTAATGGAGTCACGATTGCACTTTGTATGTTCAGTTGTGACACATGCATGGAGCTGGCATGGGTTTGCACTTGGGCTTTCCTTGCGGCATGGTTTAGGTGGCAACCATGAAGCAGAGCCAGGCTAGATTGGGTAGGTGGTAGATAGTGCATAGTCTGATTACGCTATCACATGCTATTCCTGAAAGTGACGCTCAAGCATCCTCCAAGCTTTTTAACATCCTAGTAGGTTTAGCCACAAGGATAATTGATGTTAGCAACCCGCTGCTCCAAAAATGTCATGTGTGCTTTGTGCTACCAAATCACAGGCACAAAATAAACTTTTATTGTTTCTCTCTGAACTAATAAAACAACTGTCCAATGTAAAGGTCATCAAAGAATAATCTGAAAAATGTAATTCAGCTAGTGAGACCACTTTCTATTACTGATTTATCAAGAAGCCTCCTTCAAAAGAAGACGAGAAAAAGACATTTTCAAAAAAGGCCACATGAAATGCCGCATGAATGATGTTCTAGCTTTGCGATCCTCACATGAATCTGTATTTTCAGCCATGTTTTGACTGTTCCATTCTGGTCCCCACTTTTACATACCGTAGTATTTCAATTAGGTAAGTAATGTCAGGAACCTTGATACTATTTAATTTTATCGAAGGTGAACATTTGGCAGAAGTCTGCCTGATTGGGAAGGAAAAGAGGCAAATAGAGAACTCCAACCAAAAATTGTAATTTAAACCTGACATTTCGAAGATAGGCCGGCTTCTTTCTCAGGGATGAGAAAGCCAGAGATGCGCGGCGCTTATATATGCTTGCTCGCCTTGCGTGAAAGGCTCGCTGCAACCCGTAGCAAACTCTGGTACTAGTAAAGGAAGGGTAATGTCCCCGTGGAGCGGTTAAAAGGAACAGCTGGTGGCGACTCCTCCTGGAATCTTGGCATATTCAGCAGACGGCAGGGAACATCAACCGCTCCACAGGGACATTCCTCTCCCTCTACTGCCAGGGTTTGTGACGGCTCACGGGGAGTCTCTCACGCAAGGTGAGCAAGCGTATATAAG